CGGGCGCGGGCGGGAGCCAGCTAGCGGGGTCACCTCGAAGGGCCGACGGGGAGAGCACAGAGACCACCAGGCGTCCGGGCCCCAGGAGCCGCCCTCCCCCGAGCCGGGAGAGCCCAGACGTCCGGCCACGCTCCGAGACCCCGAGCTCGCCCGGCCCCGCCCCCCTGCTATTGGCTAACTGAGATGCCACTCAAGGACGGGGAAGGCCCCGATTGGCCAGAGGCGCGCTCGGAGAACCGCGCTCCCGGAAGGCTGAACCAGCAAACTGAGAAATCATCCCCCCTGCTCCGCAGGAATGGATCGGCCCGGCGTGGAGGGCGCCCCGTTACAGGGTTTCCGCAGGGTCCCGGCGCCTCCTACTCCACCCTAGGCTAAGCTGGGCCCACGGAACCCACAGACGAGGCTGCAATGTCCAACGCGCTTTATTGGAGACAGGCTTCGGCCGGGGTGGCCAGGGACCCCACCTACACTGGCACCACTGGGCAGGCAGCGAGACCACATTGGGCTGTGTGTCTTGTTCAGCTCCCACCTCCTCCCAGCCTGGCTGGGGGCAGCACTATGCCCCCCCAGCTCTCTGCGCTGATGGTGGGCACGTGGCTGCCCTCCCAGCAGAAGACAGGGTCCAGGGTGGCAGGGGTGGCAGTACCATGTCTGTGCCGATGGCAGGCACAGTGCACCCCAGCCTGAGCCAGGGCCTGGGGTAGCAGCACAGAGCTGTGCCCCCCACCACCACCAGGTGTCCTCTACAGTTGCACCCCTCAGCAGGCAGGAATCATGGGTGTCACAGAGCCAAGTCCTCCTCCACCAGCCCTGCTGATCAGGCCAGTCAGGCTGACATTTCCTCGGCTGCAGACACCAGCCTCAGAAAGCATTTCCAAACAATGTCTCCAAACACCGAGGACGGGGAAGAGGAGCAGAAAAGGCGCTTTCCAGTGAGAGCCAGGGTAAAGGGAGAGGCAGCACACCAGGGCAGAGGCATCACTTCTCCGGCTTCTTCGGCAGCGGGCGGCGGAACAGCAGGATGTGCGGCTCTGCGGGGAGAAACGGCGTCAGCACCGTGCAGAGGTGACACACAAACCACACGGGGCGGCCCATTGCTGCCCAACGTCCACCCACCTGGCCAGGGAGGAGATGCCTGAGCCCAGCCATGGGCAGAGCCGGGCAAACAGACATGGAGCACCTGGCCCGGCCCACCCCAGCAGCTCACCGGGCTCGTGGATCATGTAGTGCACCCAGCCCTGGCTCTGCTGCACGCCCAGGTTGCGCCACTCTGACTCCGACATCAGGTGCGTCCGGGGCACCAGCTTCGCGATGTCTTTGGGCAGCATCACATGCCTGCAACGGGAGCCGCAGCATCATCATGGCGCGGCCACACCTGGCCCAGACCCCAAGACAGGGGCCAAAGGCGTCATCACTGCGCACCAGAACTTTGCAGAGGTCGCAGGCCACGGGAGCGGGGTGGGGGATTGGCGTCATCACTATGTGCCGGCATCGAGCAGGGGTCAAAGACCCCAAAAAAGGGGATGATGGCGCCATCACCACGCGCCGGCACCGAAAAGGGGTGGGGGACAGAGCCCAGGAGAAGGGTAATGGCATCACGGGGTCGGAGAGCCCAGTAAAGGGGGTGATGGCGTCATCCCCGCGCGCCGGCAACAGGCGCTAACCCCGGCGGGGGAAGGGGCCGGGCGCCCCGTGCTCACCGGTACTCGAACTCCTCGTCATCGTACTTGTCCGAGTAATAGATTTGCTTGTGCGCCATGCTGGCCAGCGGGCCCACCCCCTTCCCAGCAGCCCGCGCGCGCCCGGCCGTTGCAGGTGGGCCCCGCCCCCAACCGCCGCTTTCAAACGCCGCCGCCCTGCGCGCCCATTGGCCCGGACGGCGCGAGCAGAGCAAGCCCCGCCCCCCCGGGGCGCCTCGGGAGGTGATTGGCCTGTATTCACTCCCCGGCTAGCTCAGTGGCCAGCGCCGCGCACGTGGGGAGGGCGCCCCTGCGCTGGCTCTCATTGGTCCGGGCGGCCTCGGCCCGCTGGGGTTCCTTTGTCACGTGACGGGGTCGCTGAGGCCACGGTGGGGGCGCGGGGCCGGAAG